TCAATTAAGTCAAAGGTTTACCTTTCGCCAAAGCTATGGTACTTGAGAGTGAGTGTGATGGAAGCACAAGACATTTTTTTGGGAGGCAAAGGGGCGCCATTGAATAAAATGGTGAGATATCCAGAGCTTTTTGCTAAAGTTCTAGTGGGGAACCAAGTTTTGAGGACTGGGATTGCCTCGCCCATGACAAATAGGAGCTTTTCAAATCCTTGTTGGAATGAGGATTTCATGTTTGTGGTTGCTGAGCCATTTGAAGACTATCTGTTGATCTCAGTCGAGGATCGTCTAGCTTCGAATAAGGATGAAGTTGTGGGGAGACTGGTTTTACCCATGACAAATATTGAAAGGCGATTTGATGACAAGCCGGTGATGTCTAGATGGTTTAATCTTGACGCTCAGTTCAGCAGCCAGAACGAGTCCAAGGCTGTGGTTCGCTTTGCCTCTCGGATTCACCTCCGTGCTTCACTTGAGGGAGGTTATCATGTGCTCGATCAGGCCACAATGTACAGTAGTGATGTAAGGCCAACAGCTAAGCAGCTTTGGAAGCCCCACATTGGTGTTCTTGAAGTTGGCCTTTTGGGTGCAACAAATCTTATGCCCACGAAGATAAAAGATGGCAAAGGAGGCTTGACTGACGCCTATTGTGTTGCAAAATATGGGCAGAAATGGGTTCGAACTCGGACTGTGGTGGACAGCTTGGCCCCCAAGTGGAATGAGCAGTACACTTGGGAAGTTTATGATCCTTGCACTGTCATTTCCATTGGGGTGTTCGATAATTCGCGAGTTGACAAGAATACTGCATCAGGAGCCGTAAATCGTGATACTTGCATTGGGAAGGTTAGAATCAGATTGTCAACTCTTGAATCTGACAGAGTTTATACTCATGCTTACCCACTGCTCATGTTGCATCCTTCTGGCGTGAAGAAAATGGGAGAGCTTAGTTTGGCTGTTCGGTTTTCGTGTGCTAATATGTTCAATATGTTACATTCATACACATTGCCATTGCTGCCAAAGATGCACTATGTGCAGCCATTGTCGGTGAATCAACTGGATTGTTTAAGGTGCCAGGCTATGAGTGTGATAGCATCAAGGCTCAGTCGAGCAGAGCCTCCATTGGGAAGAGAAGTGGTGGAGTACATGCTTTATCATGACTCCCATATGTGGAGCAAGAGAAAGAGCAAAGCTAATTTCTTTAGGCTTACTAATGTTTTAGCCTGGTTTGTTGTTATGAGTAGGTTGTTAGAATCCTTAAGAAATTGGCAGAAACCCGTATACTCCACGTTATTTCTAATTGTCTTCATCATCCTTGTGTTGGTCCCCGAGCTAATAATTCCTTGCATATTTCTCAAGCTGGCTACCGTGGGAATTTGGCGATATAGGTCCCGGCCATGTTACCCACCTCACATGGATACTCGACTGTCCTTTGCAGAGACAATTCTCCCTGACGAATTGGACGAGGAATTTGATTCATTCCCAACTAGTCGAAGTGCAGAGATTGTTCGAATGAGGTACGATCGTTTGAGGAGCATTGCTGGAAGAATTCAAACTGTTGTTGGGGATTTTGCAACTCAAGGCGAGAGATTTCAAGCGTTGCTAAGCTGGCGTGATCCCAGAGCTACATTCTTGTTTGTGATGTTTTGCTTTATAGCTGCATTTGGGTTCTATTTGGTGCCAATCAGATGGGTGGTGGCTGTTTGGGTTGTGTATTATCTGAGGCCACCCAGATTCAGGAACAAGTTGCCTTCATGTGCTGTTAGCTTCTTCAAGAGGCTGCCCACAAATGCTGATACCATGCTGTAAAATGAATTTTTTTTTTTTTTTTTTGAGTGAAATGGGGATTAGAATTATCACAGTAGGTGTAAGGTAATTTTATTGCTTCAGCTTCAGCTTCTAAGATCCAGAGGTTGTAGTGTCAAGGTCTTCCATTGTAATTTAATCTTGGAGTACTCTGGCTATTGGTATCTTCCCTTAATTTGCATGGTCCTGTTGTACTTGTTACCTTCTGTTTCTTTTCTTTTCCTCTCTAATTTTAACCACAATTGTATTGATTTAAATCACCTCGAACAGTAGGTGATATGAATAACAGAATACAATCAATCCAAGTACTGATGACTGGACAAAAAATCATTTATGCTAAAGAGGGACACAGCATGCCTTCGAAAATAAACAAAGAAAAAATGTCCAGACAAAATAAATGCATTAGGAGCTTAGCAGATAAACTATTGACTCTTTTTGAACATGTAAGGAGATGAAAATTGATCACCAAAGATAACTTAGGTTCAGTTTATACCCACTTCCAACACCACAAAGTCGACAACTACGGATCCAAGACAATACCAAGCTTACTTCCCGTTGCCAATGAGATATATCACTTACGAGATCACAAAGGAACAAGGAATCTCATCAACTATCACCATTTAGATCATAGACAAAAAGAGGCAGAGAAGATGCAAGAGAAAACCATGAGAATCGGCCAAGAATAAGGGAGGCAGCGATGGGTCTCCTTTTGGGTCTCTTAAAATGAGAGAAAGAAATCAATTTATTTCTAAGTCAGCTGGCCCAAATAAGGTAAGTATAGGTAGGTTAAACAATGGGTCAAGTTAGAGGCCCAAGAGACAATTAAATAGGCTCACAAGATATTCTCTTAATTAATGGCCATCCAAGGAAGTGTATTAGGCCACGAGCAATACTAAATTATTTAGGTTGCTTCGAGAATGTGGTGTTGAATTCTCGTTCAGTCATTTGACTAGACCAACTGAGAACTTAAATCGAGTAATATTACAGTCCGAGGGAGGTCGTTTGACAACAAATTACCTAATAGAACAAACGACAATCCCACTTTTCCAAATTCAGTGTTCTAAAAAACAATGCTTTTCGAGCTTTTTATTTTTTTAAATTTTTTTCTAGGCTTAGTCGCACCAAGGCGCTTACCCTTCTGCACTTTTTATGCTTTTTTTTAATTATTAAATAATTTTTAAATTGATTTAAAATTTTAGAATAATATTAAAATAAGAAAACATTTTTTTTTATGCATAGGCCCAAAGTTGGCCTCCATACTCTACGTTTTTTAGAAGAATTATAGCCGCACACAGTTCATTTCAAACTGCCATCTCTACCTCTCCGAAGAGGCCGAACCATAACCGTCCACCCCACCATGGCTTCATCTAGAGAACCTTGGCTGCATATTACCCGCAGCCTCAATGAGCATATCCGGAAATTGTTTTATGATATTTATTCAATTAATTTGATTATTTAGTAAAACATAATAATTTTATGCTAATATATTACCTGATAATATATATTTTAAATTTGATGAATTTACTATTTTAAAAGTACCGTTGAGCATCCAAAAAAAAAAAAAAGACGTATTTTGATCGTTTTGAGTTTTTTAATTGTCAACACTCAAAATGAAAAAAAAAAATTTGTTTTAAGTTTTCAGTCATAAATTTTTCCTTGTTTTCGGAAATGAGCGACCAAACGCGTTTTGAGTGTTTTTGAAAATTAAAAATAGAAAACTGCGAAAAACGACAAACCAAACGCCCCCTTATATTTTTCAAAAATGCTATTCTGCCAGGATCATTTGAAGAGACACTGGCCAAAATATCTCATACAAGGGGTCCACCCCATTTTTTAATGCCCAAAAAAAAATATCCACCCCCTTTGAATGTGAAGAGTTTGGCCAAGGTCTGTAAAAATGCTCTAGATTTTTATAGTTTATAAACGAAAACTTCATTTCGGTGGCTGAATTTTTGAATTCTTCAAAATGATCCCTGATTTTTCATGATCCTGCAAGTTTGTCTCTAGGCTTTGTGACTACTGCAAAAAGGCCACTGAACTTTCTGTGTGGTGTAACAGGTCCCTGCACTTTCCAGAAGTTGGAAATTGGTCCCTGTAGTTCTGAATTTGTTCAATCAGTCCCTAACTACAATTTCATCGACAAGGGTGAGAACACTGACGAATGGTTTGTGCTGCACAGTATCCAGTTTAAGGAGGCAAACAACTTTTCATGGCCATTCCAGCTGAGCTAACCCGAAGGATCAAAGAACGAGAGAAATTATTTATCAGCTCATTGGAAGAATAAACTAGGGAGAGAGTAGCACTTTCGTTTTGTTAATAAATTTTTCTTTTTTTCTTTTTCCTTTTTTTTTTTTAATCGTTTATCAGAGATTTTGTTAGTAAACTTTAATCAACTGCGATTCATCAATGGAACGGTGGTTTCCACCGAAAAGAGAAACATGGACTCATAAAATGCCAATTTTATGTATTTCAATAATAGATAAATTAGGACCGGACTCTCTGACCTTTACATGATGCGGCTATGGACCCCAATTCTGCAATTTAAAAAAAAAAAAAAAAAAAAGGAGTTTTTGAATTTTTACCTTATTCAAATTGGTGAATTTGGATTGCTAAGTGACTGAAACTGTTAATGTAGACAACAAAAAGGGTTAAGCCACTCAACCCGCGCCGGTGACTGTGAGGATGTGGTCATCCTCACATGAGGTGCATGGATCTCAAGTGAATAAAAAAATGCTAACCCCTCTTGTGAATTGTGTCAACCCAAAGGTCATTCTCGCGGACACTGCAGCATCACTCCAACAGAAACACACAAGAATCTCACATGATTCATTGTTAAGAGGGAAAAATGTAAAATCCCTCAAATGGGCCACACAAATGCCCTTAGATGTCTTGTGAAACTCCAAGGCTTCTTATGTTATGAAGCATGTGCCTAAAACTTCAAAAAGCAATCGGATTTGAAACCTATTCCTCGATTTGCCAACAGGATCCTTGTTCAGAAAAATATAATGAGACAGTAATTGTCAAAAATCGTCCAAAACAAAGGAAAACCAATTGATTAACAATATCTTATTGACATTTTTTCTTTAACCACCGGATTTTAACAAGGAACTTTCCACCTTATTTCATTTCCATACTTGATTTCAAGCCATTATTTTATTTTTGCAGGTTTTGAGGAATCCTTCCCAACAAAAACTCATCTAACATCAGAACACATAATCTCAAAGTTCAAATATATGCATTACTAATAATATCCGGCATAGTTTGCCTATCAAGAGAATATAGCAGGCCCTCAGTCACTAGGCCAGAGACAAAAGTCCTCCATCTGCTGAATGTACAAAACGGGACTTGTCATCAGATGGGTGCACAATGCCATTTCACTCCCAAATTGTTCTATAATATCGACATAACTGATATTTCTGATAGTGCTACTAATAAAAAGGTGAACTTGAGGTTATGAAAGCATGATGTCCAAACATATCTGTTCAATCACATGCCAAGATTCTGTAGTTTACCAACCAACCGGGCAGCAGCAGATTCCCTTGCTTCAAGCGGATTGGTCTTCAAGTCACCGGTAGAAGAGAACTTGAAATCCTTCCCTTTCAATACAACCTCCGCTGTAAATTTACCTAAAGAAATGCAGCGAGTGAGATCACAGTATACATGTTGAAGACAATATTAAATTAAAAATACCATTTGACCGTAATTAACAAACTTAAGCTTTTAAATCAAGTAGATCAACATTGCATAGAGCAGACAAAGGTCTTGAGTTCAAGTATCACTGTCACCCATTTAAAAAGAATATCCACGCATTTGGCTTTGAAGTTAAAAAATAAGAATAAAAAACCCGCCTTTACATGAGGGGGCGTGTTAAAGACAATATTTAAATGATATACATTTGGCCATATCTAACATCTTAAAACTTTTAGACCAAGTGGTTCAACAATATGAATGTCATGTGAACAAAAATGAAGAGAAAAAGTAGTATTAAAAAAGAAATGCATGCGATCCCACAAATAAAAATAATAAAACACACTCTGAACCCAACATAAATTTCTAGCTTAACAATTCAAGTCTTGGCCTCTTCAAATTCTAGGAGAGTCAGAGAAAACACATTTAGCTTGTGCAAGCAAAATATATTCAAGGTAGAAGAAAGTTGTTGGCACCTACAAAATACCATATAATTAGAACCGACGAATCCTCAACAGGACCATATGGCTAGAACCTAGTGTTTCTAGACAAATTTCTTGTGGAAAAAGAGCTGAGTTGTAAAGTTGAGACCTCAGGGTCCAAAGGGTTTTTTTTTTTTTTTTTTCCTTCTAACAATTCAATTACAAACATTGAAACCTAAAAAACCTATGAAAAATAAAGAGACATGTTTAACACAGCAACAGATTATAATTTCTTTTCACCTAACAGACAATGCATGAGACAAATTATGGAATCTTACCGTCTAATGGTTCCAAAAAATATCTCGGCAGTCTCCAGTTGTTCTTTATGCATATGGATTCCAAGTCCTGTCCAGTGAAAACTTAATTAACAGTTCAACATAGAAAAAAGTAAAGCACAAGGTTTCAAATGAAAATATTCATTATGTATTTCTGAATCATATCCATGTCACAAAAGATGTAAACTGATGCTCAATGCTAAAATTAAAAAATAATAAAATAATAAAAATAAAATAAAAATAAAAATACAAAGGCTAAAGCCAATCTCTCCCCTGTAAATATGCATATATGCACACATAAGAAATAAAATGCTTTATCACCATCATGTATGTGAAAATGCTTTATTTACTTTATTCCTTTATTTACATTACAATTGCAGGCTATTTAGACAAAGTTGGAGAAGCATGTGATGGCACAGGAACATGGTAATAAATATAGCTGAGAAAATAAGAAACGCTAAAATAATACAAGAAGCTGAGCCTTACTTCAAAGAACTTAAATAAATATAGTTGAGAAAGTAAGAAACACTAAAACAGTACAAGAAGAAGCTGTGCCTTATTTCAGTGAACTTGTGGCCGCCTTCACAAACCATCTGTAGTAGCTATCTCCATTTGAACCAAACACGCCGAAGAAAAACAAAACAAATATAGATACAATATATGAAATAAATGGTGACAAATCTAAACACGCACACGCACACACACACAGGCGTCTGAGACATACTAGCAGGTTCTCATGACTGAAGTGTCAATCTCATGCAAGTGTTAATTACAAAAATTCCCAACATTTACTAATATATATAAGCACGAATCAACATAGTTAATCCTTCCCATTTTGGCTATTGTCATTTGTCACAAAAGTTCAAGAAATAATAGGAAAATCTGTGACCATGATATAAATTTGGAAATAAACTCAGGCGATTAAGTGTGATACCAAAATTGGTAGATGATAGTAGGTATAGCAACCTACACGTCATTGTATAACTTTCAATAAAAAATAAAAAATAAAAAATAAAAAAGAGTAGATTTCAGAAAAATCTTTAGAATATATTGTTATTGCGACGAAAACTTCCAGAAAATTTCCAGCATAGTTTCCTTAAATATGTGCCAAACCCCTGAAATATGTACTGGAAAAGCTGGTAATACACGATCTTATTTAAGTAGGTTGGGAAAGACACAACAGTAAAGAGAGAATTGATAACATCTGGCCATGTTTAGCAACTGTAGCATGCCCAAGTGAGCACTGAGACCCCTCCAGTCTTCATTTAAGCCACCAAAGATGACCTGCCCACTGTTTCCTTTATCACTCTTTATTATAGGTACATATTATATTTGAACAACATAATTTCTTGTATTGATAAGTACTTTCTTGGTTACATAAAATTATGGCGTACTGCAACTTTTCTGTCCTAATTATCCAAACGCGTTCACTGTGTGCAGGCAATTCTTGTCCTATTATTACAATGTCAAGTTCAGCCATTAAGGTGATGCTCCAGTTTCGCAAGGTGATCATCTCTTTCTAGAGGGTTATCTAGAATTAGCACAATAAAGTTCATAATACTTGATACCTTTTCCGTAAATAAGATACAGAAACTACAGAAATCTCCACAGAGAAAAACAAATGAGAACCCACCTGAAATGAAGAACTCCCAGAGTTACCAGACAATCTTGTTTGCCACTTCAGTTGAAATTCAGGATGATCTTCTCCAGGTTGAAAAGCCTGGTTAGGATCATTTGTGATAGATTTGATACATTGAAGAGCTAAACCAACTTCACTACCTAATACGTGGAAAAATATGATTTAGAAGTTTTAGTTTCCATTACGTATAGGAATCATATCCATAAAAAATAAAATAAAATAAAATATTTCTTAGGAGTGAGAGAATAAAAATAGAATTTTCTTAAACAAGTCATTCTTTTGCCAATCTTCCATAATTCAAAATTGTCCCTCTATTTAAGTGAATAATATCTCCATTCATTTCCAGCTTTATCCTAAATAAACGTGTTTATATGCAATAGTAACTGGAGTCTGGGTGATTTTGGAAAAGAATGAATCAAAAAATGTATTTTGGAGTTCAATTAATGAGCTTTTACAAGAACAAAGAAAAGAGAAGGGAGCGACTACAAAATATATACATGCCGTGTTAATGTAACTTGAACCAATCAAGTTGGTCAAGTAGTTTTCACTTCAAGTTTATTTTTAAAATGGGTAAAATGGATATTACATGAATGTAGAAGTAAGAGGAAGGGTATTTTAAGTTTTAACAAATAGCTTAAAAGTCAATTTGATCTGAAGGCCTCACACAAAGTTCTACTTTAAACATAGGATAAACTATTGTACTTCAATCAAATTTATATAAAGAGCTTCTCATATTTTCCGCACTGCCAAAAACAAGCAAAGAAGTGATACCTTTCAACATCACGCCATCATCCACACACCTTTCCCAACTAAGGTTCTATGCTCACAATATGCCCTACGTGTAGATATTTATAATTTTTAATGATATATTCATGTATAGTACTGTATTATTTAGAAAGTTCCTATTAGAAACTTTTCTTCATAGCACCTTATACCTTATAAGTGTGGAAGGCTTTGGAAGTTGAACACTTTTTACAATCACTTTCATTCAGTATCAAGCTAAAAGGTTCGACCACATTAAATCATAAGATTTGATGGGTTCAAGAAAGAAGTAGACCAGTATATTCCTCAAATATATGAATGTATGTTTAGATGTATATTTACCAACACTCATGATTCTTACTGAAAGATAAAAGATACAGAATCTTTGCTGAAACAAAATGTAACAGAAAATGAGAACCATAAAAAGGTGTGAGAGTATGACATGTACCATCCCTTATTCTTCCAATATTTCCTTCATATAGTGCAAGCTCATCTTCCTTCCTGCAGATCTGGGAATACTGACAAGACAAGTAGAATTATGATTCATATACATACATGATTCATTAAACACTTTATGCATATAATGCAAAAATTATGGCTGGTCACTAAGCACTCCCAAGAGAAGTAAAAATTTGACATGTATATGCATGCATTTAAAAGTTTGTCCATCTTTCAAAAGGTACTTCAGTTGTCAATGTTAGCATAGAAACTAATTTCAACTGATTCAAGTCATCTTCAAGTGTATATATACTTTATACTACAAATGAAAGGTTAGCCTTCAACTTTGCTAACTGTTCCTTGTAATTAATATGGTAAACGATAGGAGTTACATTTTTTATTTTTATTTTTTGGATAAAAGGTGAGGTAAAATAACATGTAGCCACTCTGGATAAAGCCCCTGTTTATCCCCCATTTCTTAAAACTCATTTTTTCCCAAAATTCATTTCCAACCACACATTTCATGGATCCACCAATTTTATCAACTTTTCAACTACATATTTCATCAACTTTTATCAAAATCTACTAAATTTAGTTTAATCAAAACCAAACAGGGGCAAAACATCTCGTCTTGTCCCCAATGAAGTGCAGCAGACATTAAACATTAGTTCACCGATTGGAGCTCCCAAATCCAACCACAAATCATAAAGTGCCAATACTGATCCAATAATTCGACAATCACAACTGAAATCACTGCAATTACAACTGATAGAATCTTCAAAATATTGAGAGAAAAATGGCATCCTGTCTGATAAATAAAAAATAACATCACTCTGAAGAGGTATATCTCATTTATGAATAGCCACTTCAATATAAAGAAAGTAACTATAAATTAAGACACTGGCAGGAAAAACTGGACTAAGAAGCCAACAAGCAGATATACTATATTCTATGGGAAAATTAAAGCTGGTTTCCCAACCCATTCCAAATGTAGCAACTAGAAAGTAGATCCCCTACTTGGGACAGTGGACCGAAATGTGGCTTAGACAAGGGGCGGAGCTGGGTGGGATAGGAGGCTTTAGTGGGGAGAGGCAGAGGTGGGGTTTGCTGTTTTTTTCTTTTTCCTTTTCTATATATTTTTCCCAATGTATTATAGTTATAGTGAAGAAGCATGGAAAAATTACCACTTCTTGTCTTCTTTTATAAAGAAGTGTCAAACAATTCTGCAGTGCCTCTGAAGCTGGTGTACTTTGTACTTCTTCAATACACTTCTGGTTAGACTCCAAGTGAACCAGCTCAGCATTGGCCAAAGGAGTCCCATTTTGATTGGATGAAATACTGACACAGCAAGTCTCTCCAGAAACCTTGTCATCTTTGTCTTGAGTACCATTTGACTTCAAAGAGTCCACCATCTCCACCTGACGAACCATTTTAATGAATAAAAAATAGATTAGTAAAAATATATATTATGCCACATAGTTGGCCATTATCACCTATCAACAGACTGGCTAATTGTCACCACTAAAAACCAGGAGGTCGGATCATTACTTGGACACAGATACAAGACACCACAATTGCAGAAAATATTCAGAGACTTTTTTTCTATTTGCTGCACACTAAAAAAAAATAATTATGTTAACCAGTGTTCATATCCTACTTTCTTTATAAAAAAAAAAAAAAAAAAATCATGTGTTAATGTGTCTGTATCTTAACCTAAACTAAAGCAAGCAAGCGTTATTTAAATTTTTTTACCGTGACTGCATGTTTGAGCAATCACGCTTTACGCTTGTGGCTGGTAGTTTTATTTAAAACAGATTTAAATATTATCATCAGAGGTTTCATTAACTTTCAGTGGTAGTTTGCTCTGACAATGAATACTGCAGGTCTGAGATATCAACATGGTGAAGATACTATTGTGGCATATCATGCATTAGATGCAAAAAAAGTAATCAAGTTCTTGAAAATCCCCACCCCACCACCCGCACACCCCAACTGTTAACAGGAAATAAGAACATTTGTAGAATAATCACAGTAAGAGTTTTAAAGACAATTGTGAAAATGATTATAGACCAAAAAATGTGTTACCTCCATTTCAACACTATCTACTGGAGCACATGCATCAATCAGCAAAGACGAAGAGTTCTTTTTTTTGTGATAAACTTTGATTTTTGAAATCGGATTCTTCCTTACATCTTCATTGCTGAGATGAATCCTTGGGAAGGCATCCATGTCTATTCTCTGCGGCTCGCCGGGAGGGCAAGGTGGTGAACCCTTTGGCCATTCTTTTCCAACATTCTGATTTAAAACATCATCAATGTTGTCTGCCTCCTTGGAAGAATCATGGTTCTTGTTAATTTCCTTACATTCGTCTGTGCCATTATCATCTTTTCCTGGCCCTTGAGAGATGTTAGTAGGACTTGCCTCTTTGCCACTAGATGAATGCTTGTAATTATTTCTGTCACTGTTCTCGTTAGCTAGATTTCCAAAGGAATTGTCTTTAGTCTGACATTGTATGCTGTCCACTCGATCCAAATCCTTGTTCATATTTTTTAATTCAGGTAAATTCAGTATTCTGCTTTCAGTAACTTCTTCGGTGCTTTGGGAGTTGCCACCATCTAAACTTGACATAGATGAACATTTCCTGCGTCAATTGGCAGGTTGTCAAACCAATGCACCATGGTACTAGATCTTCAGATCTCAGAACCCAACTAGCATAACTAATCAGAAAAATATACCCAGCAAGCATGGAACTGCACTGCTATACGGAACACAGAGACTTGAGATCAATTTTATTTAATTCCACTCAAATGCTATTTTTAAGACATGCAATCCAGCAACAAATTATTTTCAGTATACAACCGGCCCTCTCTATTGTAGCTTAATTCACCACAAACCAGATTTAACAGGTTAGTCAATGCCTACAAGCTGAAAAAACAAATGGAGGGTCTCATTTTCTTGGAGGCTGAAAAAACACAAACAACCAAGTAGCTAACCATTATTAGACTTACATCCTCAACTTCATCATACCCATAGCTACATCTTCTCAATGCTTCAAGGAAATGTTATCTTTTGCAACCATCTTGATAGGCCACATTAACTTTGGTCTACCGCTCCGTCTTTTAACATGGTCTATGTAAGCTCTATTTTAACCATATGAGAACTTTAGTGTATCCTCGGTGTCACCTTCACTTACTGGTGTATCGATGTCTCATTTTAAACATTTTTTTGGCAGGCACGCTAGAAAGAAAGGAATCACTAAAACACAAATTAGGCACATAAACTCTACAAGGTTCGAAACAAGGTTCAGCCACATTCAAAATTGAAATTAATGCGATCTGAGAAGTCATTTGCATACTGGGACCATGCCACGAAGACTGTGTCATACCATACCATATTATAAAAAAATAAATATATTTTCCAACGTGTTTTAGAAGAATATAAAGACGGAAACTTTTCCAAAATGTTCTCCCCTCCCTTATTTTGTTCATCTTATACAACATTTCCACTATTCTGAATCACATGAAAAGCACATTGGTAAACTTTAGCATTGTGCAGCAAGATTGTTCTACCCAAGATTTCTGGTCACCAGAGTGCTGCCAACAATCACTCACTTTGATCTCTTTTGTTTCATATAGAAAAATTAGATGCTTACATAGTTGAACACAATTACCAACCAAAAAAGGGTACAAGGAAGATGAAAAATGATACAAGAACTTATGCAATCTTCACAAGCCTACAAGCATAATGAAGCAGCAGATAAAATTTTATGGTTCAATCAAGGACTACCCTGATAATCTATTATTCTATTCTCAAAGGCACATATCCACCATTGTCAATTTGAAATATGTAAGTCTGGATCCTCAACATAAGGTTTAAAAGATAACAAACACCAAGTGATAATGGGAAACAAGATTGATAGATGGAGTACCTCAAAAACCATTGTGACATGACCCCTGCATAGGGATGCATGTGATAATACTCAACAGCAGGAGTAATTGTCCAACTACGACAAATCTTTTCCACGAAAGGACCCTGCAAACTGACAAACAGAAGTTTCATAAGAGGTGTTAGGAATCAACTCTAATGGGGGAAGAAGAAAAGGTTAGAATACAAATATGAATTACTAGTAGCCAGTAAGTAACAAGGCAGATATCCATAATTTCAACTGCAGTGCACCAGAATCACATTTAAAAATGCTGGACTGTATTGCAGGTCACTTCCAAAATTAGACTGAACTGATTACAGGAACAACAGAAATGCCTAATGTGACCTGTGAAGGCTGTGATACATTGAAATTAATTTAAGCAGCACTGAGTAAGAATTTAAAATCTAATGGAGATAGAAAGATGATATAATTAAGTCATGAATGCTAAAATTAACATATTTGGTAGGACCAAGGAATGAAAAGGATTTCTAATTATATTCCTGTCCCACGGTTGGTAGGTAGTCTTAGAACACAAGAATACAATAAAAGCGACCAACTCTTTGCCACCTTTCAAATACAATTTTATCCTGTTTTTCCCGGGCCTACTGCTTCATTTTCGACTTACTTTTTAAGCTTTAATCCCCACTAGTAACACTCTACAGCCAGAAGGTAACTCTCCTGGCCTACCTCACTCTAGAACCCACCCCACCCAAAACCCACCTACTATTCTTTGTGCACGTACTTTTATAATTCTTTGTACCTATGTTTAATACTTTGTGAGCATTGCAAGTATGTATGCTTTGCAGACAACGGTAGCATGTATCTGGGATGGTATTACTGTTGGTGAAAGTTGTCAAGACTGCATATGCTAAGCGGGCTATCAAGTGTTCCCATAAGTGAGAAACATAAATGGCCGATAAATTTGTCGCACTGACCATGTAACAGATTACAGCAAGTTTGCAGTTCATGGAGTGGTATCTAAAGGGGATTTCTGAAGTCCCTATCGTAGTAAAAGGAGATGAAGTTCAAGAGGCATATTAATTAATATATAGTGAAAATGGTCTCGCGCGTTTGGGTACTGGCCATGTAAAAGGTTTCCACAGGAATACAGTTCATGGAGTGGTATCGTAAGGATTTCTCAGGTCCCTATGGTAGTAAAAGGAGATGAAAGTCAAGGCATGCTAATATATAGTTATAATGTTCTTGCACATTTCATATTCATGCTAATTGCAGGGTAAGGCGTGGCAATGAAGGTGCCTTCTCTGAAAAAAGACACCAATAGGTGGTGATTTTAAAAGGAGATGGTTTTTTGGTTGTTTTGGTCATATAGCATGGAGATTACAGAATTACCCAAACAGTGAAGGCTGTCAATTTAGGCAGCGAAATTGGGCAGTTGTTGGAGCCGATTGTAGGGTGGTGAATATGAGTGAGCCCATGCTCTGGAGATCGACATTTTCCTGAGGGTAAAATTTCTCATTCCGCACCCAATGCAATGACCAAAACCATGGATTTAGACAGAAAAGGCATTGGGCGCTTTTTGAGGGAGGAGTGGAACCAGTAACAACTAGCCCTATTGATGAACAGGCAAAATACGGAAATCAAATTAGGCATGTCTTCTCAACCCAACTTTAGAATTAGTTTGACCAACATCTTCCATATGATGAAAAGCCTCTGTTTAACTACCCACTACTAAAAATAATGAACAGTCAGTCAATCACATTGTTAGCAAAAAAAATCAGCGTGTTGAACTAACCTCCTCACAACATCTTCAACAGGAATTCTTTTATCTTCACTGATTGATTGGGTGCATTGCATCATATAAAAGCGAGCTGCTGTCTTTTCTTTACTTAGTGAATACAAAATATGTGTTTCCAAAACCACAAGGTCAGAACTGTTAATACCTGTTCCATGTGTAACAAAACATTCAAGAATTGTCCATTTTTTCTGAAAACTTGAAGAGATATTTCAACAATTTGAAGATTATGTGTATAGGCCAATGATTCAGGAGGCGCACTATGCAAAGACAACATCAATAAATTTCATAGCTAAGAAAGTTTGAGTTGGCTTCCAAATAATTACAACATTCGAACAATTTTATTACAGTGTGGAAAATGCATTCCTGCATATCATTTATATCCTTAATTCTTCCAATTCAAATTTTCATTCAAAGAATGTAAACGATACAAATACATGGATTAGAGAATAATGCATTTCACAAGACTCTTGGCTGTCAAATAAGATAATAATTGATGAATTACCTGTCACTTCCTTGACTGCATCAAATGCAAGCTGCAGAAATCCATTGTCATCATCATTTTTTTCATCTGTTGTTCTACTGTTTCTTTTCCTCTTGTTACCGACCTTTCCCTTTGCTGAAATTTCGGAATTGATGTTAGATTCACCAATCTCTTTTTCAATAAGTGACCATACCCCCTGAGTGACACTACCAAATTGGAGCAAACAATTTTCTTTCTTTGAATCAATTAACAATACAGCAACCTTTGAAATTGGCCATCCTTCCATATTTGGAACATCTTTCGACGCATCTAGTGCCATAGATATATTGCACGCATCCCTGATTGCTTTCTCAGTGACTGAAAGCTCATATTTCAAATCGGAAGATTCACCTTGATTCATGAATGCTATCATAGTATGTCTCAAAACCACAGACAACTTACAAAATGCCAAAAAATCCAGAAATTCTGTTTTGGGCTGTTGTTTTCGGTGGTAATAGTTGTACAGCAACACAACCGCGTGCATCTAAGAGGAAATGGAGAGTTTTCCAGGGAAAAAATGAGAAAGCAATTAGAGCTATAGGCATGAAAATTAGTGGCTATACCAAATTAATAACATATTTTAAATGCTTTTTACAAGTATTGATCCATCTCATCTAAAAGCTCTCAAGTCAGTATTTAGGGGACATTTATTTAAACTTAACCTTCAATATGTGAGTTAAATGTCACCGCTTACTTACTGAATTTCAGAATGCTTCCCAATGATCAATCAACTATGACTCACTACAAAATTCTTACATGGTAAATAACTCCATAACAGTGGCCAACCCAAACGCCACCTCATGAAATCCAAACACACATCTCCCTTTTTTAAAACCAAAACACCACTTCACATTACAAAACAAAATATCCAAATCAATTGGACACCACCAAATCAACCCTACAACGATCAATCGGAGACCACAAAGCTTGGATTGAAGTTGTGCACATGGAGGTCATTGCAAAATCATTTTTTATTCAATTTTTTTTTTTTTTTTGTGTGTTTGAATTCCTATAGTGTGAAAATCCATTTAATCGATTCAACGTATGCTATTGTGGGGTGGATTTGAAAGTGAGGTCAATATATTCATCGGTTTTTTTTTTTTTTTTTTGCGTTAATTTAGTGAACACACAAAACATATGTGACTATTTGAGTGTAATCCAATGAACGGGCAAGAAAAGCACAATGATATAGACAACTTCATTTCAATTATGTAGCTCCACATTTCAATTCATATGTAAGCCATTTCATTGCAATAAAAAAGTTACATAACCACATGGGTTTTGTCTATCCATCGGATTACCCTCAAATGAACGCATGTATTTTGCGTGTTCACTAAAGTAATGCAAAATAAATTACAAAACACGAATATTTTAACCACACTTTCAAGCTCACCCTACAACAATATAAGTTGAATCGATCTTGAACATTTTCTCACGACAAATATTCAAAAACACAAAAAATGAATAAAAAAATAGTTTTGCAATTACCTCCACGTGGTCGCTCCATTTGCACGGCTTCAGTCTAAGCTTTGTGATCCCTTGAGGTTTGGCCTTAGATAGCAAGGCAAATTTCTTTTGGGTTAGGATTTAGGGCGTTCAATTGATTTGGGGGTGTCCAGTTGATTTCGAGATTTTGTTTTGTAATGTGAAGCCATGTTTTGATTAAAAAAAATGGATAGTCATGTTTGGATTTCATGAGGTGGCGTCCTCGTTGTAGTCTGATTCAATTGAAAGAGTTACTTGCCACGTAGGAATTCCCGTCGACTTTAGGCTTCAAGTGAAACGGAATTTGTCCAATGAGTGATGGAGTGCAATGGCTTAAAGTTGAGTGGCCATGAAGAGTAAGCCGTAACACTACCTAAAGTTTGATGGGTGCTTAAACATTTAACTCTTCAATTCGCCTCTTCAAGTATTAAGTCTATAATGTAACAAAACAAGAAAAGCTAGTCTGTGAGTGTCAGTTGAATATATAACTTTGATAAATAACTTTGTTCCCTCAATAGCCTCTTAAACTTTTCCCAAAACTTTAAGAAAGAGTTCGTACAAAGGAAGCCCATGACATAACCCAAACCATTTACATTTCGCATTTATGTATGAATCACAGTTCAATTATACAACATCAACAAAAATGAATTAAATGATTACTCTTTAAGTTTATTGCATACAGTATCTCAAAAAATGCAGTTCCTCGAGAAATCAGAACTGCAGAAGCTTTCGAATAATATGCTCTTTAATCCAGTAGCAAAGTAAATAACAGCGAAACAAAACATGAAATTGCACCAGACCTGTTTAGCAACAGCTTGCTGAACAGAAAGGTCAGGAGGGTCATTCTTAGAGACCCTAGAAGGCAAGCTAGGATCAACCAAATTCTCAATCAATGCCCGTACCAGATCCTCTGTAGGGCACACCTCGTATCGTTCCTCTGCAGCTTCTGATCCCAAAGCCATTTTAATCCCTTGTATTCAACTGTATATCGGTATCCCAGAAAATGGAAACAGAGAAAAACCCTTCAGAATTCGCACTAGAAAATGGACCAGTGAGAAGAAAAAAGAAAGAATAAACGAAAATAATGTAGTATAGAAAGTGGGTTTTACCGACCAAAACTTGCACAGAAATTGCTTCACCCCTTTGAAGTGCGATCACTGATGAATGATCTAGCAAGCGAATGGGAGAGCGAGTTCAGCTGGGTACAGTTGGACGCAGTAAAAACGTGCACAAGCATTCAACTCACTCGGTATTGGTCTCCTAAAAAGGCGTGCTGGGCTATTTGTTAGGAACGCAGTCTCTACTCTCGAAGTGACTCGTCTCTCCCTTTAATGCTGATAATACAGAATAGAATAATGCTATTCCCACTAGCGTTCAACACAAATATAGGTGCATGTTTGAAAAAACTTATGTCACTCTTTGTCTATCATTCATGAAAAAAAAATAAAAAAATTTAGAGTCTGTTTGAGCCACATTATAATGAGAATGAGAAATAGAGTCGTTATGGGTTCCACACCAGAGATAGAAATTCAAAAATGGTGGCTTGATGTGATGGATAACGATCATATTTTTTATTTTAATGAGGTAAAAATGTGGCTCAAACAGGGACTTAAAGTCGTCGTTGGATACTCATTTTTCTATCTTTTCTTTTGAATAATAAAATTTTCAATAAAATAATATTACACATAAAATTAAAAAAATTTCTTATTTTTTAACCACACATTCTTTATCAATTAACTATTTCAAAATGCATTCTTACTAAAAATCGGAAAACAAAGTGGGGTAAAATTTTAATTTAAACCACTTTCAACAATTTTAATCACATATTTTATGTGATACGCAAATTTTCAACCACATATTTCATTAATTTTTATTAAAATCTACTAAAAATCTAATTTTTTTAATTATCATCAAACGAGGGTTTATTTTTCACATTTTTCTCAATTTTGTCTCTTTTTAAAAATACTTAGGCTATTTTATCTCAACAGCTCAATAGGAGCCTATTTTATGCTAATTATGAGAAACAATTTTTTGCCGGTTAGTCTGAAAAGTGGGTCCCCAAAGTTTTTGTCCTAAATTAATGTTAGGTTCTGTTTGATTGTACAAATTTTTCATGAAAGTCGGAAATTAAATTCTATTTTCCACATTTTTTTCATGTTTGATTGGCCAAATTTTCTTGGCAATTGATTTTTTTGACAACATCCCATTTTCCAACGTTTTTTACGAATTGATTTTCCTATGGGTTTGGCAATTTTTGGTTTTCCAGTTTTTCCCCCTTTTATCTTGAAATTGAAACAAATTATATCCCTTTAGTTGATAATTCCATGAAAAATAAAGCCAAACGAACACCAAAATATCTAAAAATTTCAATATTTTCTAAGTGAAAAATAATAAAATCAATAATTTCCAATAAAATAAGTTATAGGTAATTTAATTCCTTGTGATTTATTTTCGTTCCATCCAAATTCCATTATTACAATCAAACAGACCCTTAAAGTCTTCCAACAGTAAATAACACATACACCCAAAAAAGGGTCCCCAAAGTTTCCCAGTTGAGTGGACAGCCCTTGAATTTTCTATCTTTGAAATTCTGCCCCCTGAATTTTTGGTTTGATGCAATTTTACCCCGTGATTTTTCTGGAGCTCCCTTTCTTCTTGCTATAAATTAGCCCTTGAAGTTCTTTATTGCTTCAATGAAACCCCCAGTATATCAACTATATACAAATTTGTCCTTGTTCTAAGTTGATAAATATAGTGGCTATTGGTGGTGATCAAGAAGGCATTTCGAAACTCAAGATTGTCTTACATGAAAGATTTATTGTGAAAGATATCAAATTTTCGAAATATTTCTCGAGAATAGAAGTGGCTTATTAGAAAAAATGTATTTTTCTTAATCAACGAAAATATGTTATAGACCTGCTAAAGTTAAAATTAGAATAAAATATTTTGAGATAGCAACGAAAACTTAAAGTAAATTTGATAATAATGGTGAATTATTTCTCCATATTGGTCAATTTCAGTGACCTGTAAGGTGAGTTATTTACTTAACAATCATTGGGCATGATCTCCCTTTTATGTAGTTAGCTTCATTCGTCAATTCATTCATACTCCCCGTCCAAATAGAATACTACAGTATCTCAAAGGCTATGGTTGAAGTTTATGAATGTGCAATAGTATGCATGCCTTTGTTTCGACTTATATGCTGATTAGGATGGGTGATCTATTGATGGTTATTACATGTTATTGCACTTTTGTGGGGGGCAATTTAGTCATCTGAAAAGGTAAGATACAAAACATGGTTACTAAGTTAAGTATGAAAGTAAAATATCGAGCTATGTTTACCATCATAGTGCAATTATTTAGGTCCGAAAGACTTGAACTATTTCGCCTGGTGCTACAAAACTCTTTTGCAACGATCAAGCTTCCATACACATTGCTTCTAATCCATTTTTTCACTAGAAAACCAAGTATATTGAAGTTTGCCATTTTACATGAGAGAAGCTACAAGAAAGTATAATTGCTACACCATTGCTCGAAAGTGACCAACAGTTAGTAGATATATTTATTAAGAGCCCGTTTGAGCCACATTTTTTGTAAAATGAGAATGAAAAATAGAGCCGTTATAGGCCCCACATAAGAGATAGAAATTCAAAAATGATGGTTTGATGTGATGGATAACGGTCATATTTTTTATTTTAATAAGATAAAAATGGGGCTCAAACAGGGCCTAAGATTTTATTGTAGCCAGATATCAAAGATATTGTCGAAGTTGAGCACTCTCAATATCTTTGCACCAACTAGAGGAGAGTATTGATAGAGAAAGGAAATTAATTGGGTTGGGTTGGGTAAAGTTGAAAAATCAAATTTAAGGTTGGATTGGGTCTCGGATTATGAATTAAAATCCAATCCAATCCAACACAACTCAATGAATTAAAAAAGAAAATTTAATATCTAAAATGGAAAAACCTAAATAGACACAATAGTGGAGACAAGAGAATGATTTTTAGAATGTACGAATGTCCTCTTTTTCTTACATTGGCCGACTGAAGCGAATGCTGTGTACAAATGCAAAATAGTTTGATGGTAAATTAAAAATTAAGTACGTGATAATGAAATGAATAAATTTCATATATATAAAAATAAAATGCTACATAATTTCAAATTTATTTATAAATTATTTTTCAAAAAAAATCCTTATATTGTTTAAACACATCAAAGATTTTCAATTGATTTCAAACTTTAAAAAAAAAAAAAAAAAAAAAAAAAAAAAGCCAAAAAAAATTTTTAAATTTTTTTAAACCCAAAAAAAAAAAAAAAAAAAAAAAAAACCCAAATCCAACTTGAATTGGGTCCAAACCTAAATCCACCAACCTAATCCAAATTGATCAAACTTGGGTTGATTTGAATTTGGTTGGATATAAACCAATAATTTTGATGGTGTTGGGTTTGATTTGGGTTGGATTGTATAAAAAATCGACCAAACCAAACACACGCCCAGCCTTATGTAGCAACCAAAGCACATTAATTCTAGCATGTTAATTCCCTTATTATTTGCTGGAAAAAAAAAATTTATTTTTACAACAAGACCAACGATTTTAATCGTGCCCCATTGTTTAAAATAATGGTAAATAATAGGTGATGTTTTGTTAGAAAACATTAACCTATAATAATTGTTAATGCAATGTGATGGTATGCTGAATTGAATATAATTAAATATGATAATGTAAATTATGCTCTTGTTGGATCCTCATTTTGGAGGAAATAATATATTTTTAATAGTAGATTGATGGAGAATGTAGAATTTAAAATTAATGAAATTTTTTGAATTTGTGTGCAATATTATTTTATTGATTAATGCGTGGTTAAAAATGAGTTTTGAAAGAATGAGAATCAAACAAGAATTGTATCAGACTATTCGTTTTCTTGTCCAATCCTATTAAATCGAACTTTCCATGGATGACCTTAGAAATTTTTATTTGGATAAAATTTTATTGTATCAAATTCAATAAATTAGTTTGTTAATATGTTTAACGAGTAAATTTAACCAATAATCACTGAACTTTACACTTGATTACTACTTGCTCACTCATCTTTCATATATTACTGAATGCTCACTCATCTTTTCATATAATTACTCATTCATCACTCGTCTCTTCAAATAATTGGACGACTTTTACGGCAAATTTTCGACAACTTCCGACAACAAAGAATGTCGAATTTTGATCCCGTTGGAAAGCCCACGATATCCTCTTCAATTACCATCCAAAATCTCATTATAACTCCAAGGGATTCGATCGAAAAATTGCCTTAAAAGTTGCCCAAAAATTTTGAAAATCTGCCCAGATTTTCAAAATTTTTGGACGACTTTTAAGGCAATTTTTCGGCAACTTTCGACTATCAAAACTATCGAATTTTGATACTATTGGAAAGCCCACAATGTCCTCTTCAATTATTATCCAAACTTTCCCCATAACTCCAAAGGATTCGGTCGGAATAAACCCACAAAGTCAGCACCCCGAACTTTGTCCAGATTTTCGCCTTTTCAAGATGTTGATTTTGTGGGTTTATTCCGACCGAATCCTTTGGAGTTATCGGGAAATTTTGGATGGTAATTGAAAAGGACATTGTGGGCTTTCCAATGGTATCAAAATTCGATAGTTTTGATAGTCGAAAGTTGCCGAAAAATTGCCTTAAAAGTCATCCAAAAATTTTGAAAATTTGGGCAGATTTTCCAAATTTTTGGGCAACTTTTAAGGCAATTTTTCGATCGAATCCCTTGGAGTTATAATGAGATTTTGGATGGTAATTGAAGAGGGCATCGTGGGCTTTCCAACGGTATCAAAATTCGACATTCTTTGTTGTCGGAAGTTGTCGAAAATTTGCCGTAAAAGTCGTCCAATTATTTGAAGAGACGAGTGATGAATGAGTAATTATAAGAAAAGATGAGTGAGCATTCAGTAATATGTGAAAGATGAGTGAGCAAGTAATAATCAAGTGTAAAGTTCAGTGATTATTGGTTAAATTTACTCTATGTTTAACCATCAAATTTATGATATAAAATACAATGGTCAATTTATGTATTTAAGTCTCTATTTGGTAAGGATTAAAATATATACTTTAATATAAATCAAAGTCAACTTTTAATTTTAATCACATATTTTATAGTATCTATAACTTTTCAACTACATATTGTATCAACTTTCATCAAAATTTACCAAAAATTTTATTTTAATCCCACTAAGATTAAGGGCAAAGTACATAAAAGTATGCATCACTTAGTGGATCAAAGATCACTTTTTTACACTACACTATTCTTGTTAGTGGAAGTCATGAAGATAAAGAAAG